GAATAGCATGTGGTAATAACATATTAGAGGTTAGATTTGAAAAATAGATCGCTTTGTAGCCTTATTCGCTCTCTGCACATACTAGTATACCATCAGCATTTACTCCTTCTTTACCATTTCTAGATTTCTCTAGTTTTTATGTTTTATTTGAACATGTTCATATTAAATCATTCGTAAATGTATTGAAAAGTAGTGGACTTAGTCTCCTTCCTTGCTTAGTCCTTCATTTGTAATAAATACTTGTTTGTTTTTCCAAGTGGTAGAGTTCTTGTTCTTCTTGTCCTGGCTCTTTAGGACCCTAACAATTTTAACTTTTGCTTCTTTTTGGATGCAAAATTTTCCATATTTTGCTTCTCGGTATCTTATCAAAGGTCTTTTCTAAGTCTATAAATGTCAGAGAGGTTGTCAAGTTTTGTTGTCTAATCTTTTCCATCAACTATTTTATGCTGAATATAACTTGTCTATTATTTTTTCAAAACTTTTCATGGTTGCACTTATCCAACTAGATCCCTCTATAATGACTACCACATTTACTGTCTGTTTTTTTGTGAATAGGTAAGATAGTGCTATTTCCCATATCTTCCATACTTTGCTGCAGATGTCCAATAGTGGTTGAGTTCCTGTATCTAACTGCATCTCTTAATTACTCTTTTTTTTTATTTCTTGGCTACATATCTTCTTCTGTTATAGTTTCTTTTTGTTGCTATTTTTCTCCATTTGCGTGTATCATTTGGGGGTACCCCGAGGAAGTAATTAATCTAACCATTCGTATTGGATGGGGTTTCCGGTGATAGGTACATCTACCTTAATGGTAAAGGATTGCTCCATCGCTGAACTGGACGTGTAAATAAGGTAAAAACATGGGCAGATTCTCCCAGTACAGCACGAACAGCCTCAGTAGAACCGAAAAAGGAAAACCCGGTCGGGTGGTTTGTGGGCCTCTGTGCACACTTGATCGGTCGATGCAATACGAGAGCGGATTATGATGTACACGCATAATTAACTAGGCCAGTTGTGGAAGGTCTTGGAGCTGCTTCTGCTTGACGATGGAAGTTGGATATCAGAGCCGAACTGGGTTCTAGGCAGACGAATCAAACGGTTGATAAGCGGGACTGAACTAGCTCAGTTCTAATGCCGAAAACGGACTAAATAACTTTGAACGCCGATCTCTCCTTGAAGGCAGGTCATCTACAATTTTAATTGGCCTTCAAGTGCTGTGATTGGTGATCCGTGAATTCTGACCATATTTGGCAAAGCAATGCGGGTTGTTTGATGTTTTCTTTAAGTGATGGTAATGTCTGTCTTTGTTTGGAGTTGGAACAAAGAAGTGTGAGCTCTGCCTACAGTTAGTAAAGGAATGTTTTAACTTAATTCTTGGAAGAAAGGGCTAAGTTATTCGAAGGTGTTATAAGTTAGTTTTATTTTTTCTTCTACCTTTATGATTTGAGTACCTACCTTAAACATAGGACAATTGCTCTGTTTAATGGTCTGCCCGAGTTCTGCCCAAGTTTTCTTGTTTTCCAGTTCGTTGTCTATTTTTCTTTACTTTTTATATTTTTCGTAATTTGTACGTTTTTTTTCAAATATTTCTTCTATGCATTTTTTTTCTTCTTTATACATAGTATCTTTTATGCTATTTTGTATCTGATAACTATTTCCTGTTACTCTTGTCTCTTATGATGTAATCAAATATGGATTTTTTTCTCTTCTCGAGGGTACTTCTTTTTTGTATTCCTTTGTGTTTGAATCAAGAATTGCTTGTAATCATATTCTGCATTATACAGTACTCTAGGAGTGTAACCTGTACCATTAATATTTCTTACATTTCTCCATGTACTTTGGGTCTGTTCATTTAACTCTGGCATTGAAATCTCCGAAAAGATATACTTTCCCTCTTACACTTTCTGTGACTTTTGTGAGTTGCTCACAAAATGTTCCTTTATTCCCCTTCTTATCGTCTTCATTGGTATCTTCCACATACTAAAATGAATGTGCGGATGCTGTTGTTCCCATACTTTATCTCTATAGTCATGATTTTTCTGAAATCGCCTCCGATTTATACAATTGACAATACAACTGCACCCGTTTTCATTTGTTCTTTTATTCCACTATAGATTAGGAGGTATTCGTTATCCGTGGTTCTACTCCATGTTCTCTTTTTCTTCATTTTATCATTTGTGTCACTTCTAATAAGTCTAGTACGCTTCTTTCAAATACACTTTTTGATTCTTTTTCTTTTCCTTGTATGCCTCTGGCAATCCATGTTTCATCATTTCCTTTTCTATATGCTAACTTTTCTTGATTATTGTTCTATTTATTTGATTATTAGTTTCTTAATGTTGCTGTTATTATACTTGTTCTATGTTCCCAGTTTCCTCGTTCCATTGTACATTTTCTTACGTATTGTAAATTTGTGATGTCCTATTTTCACAGTTTTATCAGTCTATTTCCTTCAGTGGCTTTTATAACTATTAATTTTTGTATTTTTCTTTCATGTTCTGTTAAATGATCTATCAAAAACACCTTGTATTTTCTTTAGCTTGTTTGCTTCGCATTATTTCCAATACTGGGAAGTTCTGCTACACACATTTTTGAGTTGATTTTTGTTAAATTTCTCTAATCCTGTTTTCTACTCTCTGTTTTCCTTAGTTAAAGTTCACTTACCACAACATTGTTCGTTTTATAGTTTTTCTTTAGTAGCTTTATCTTTTTTTTTTTAGTGACTCACTCTGAATAATACAGGGTTTCTGTAAATGAATAGAGGGTCGAAGTAGGTCATGAAAGCGTGCCGCCTCCACTTTATGGAAATTTTACTAAATATCCAAGGACCCACGACAGATACCACACGCACCTGTATAATTGTTTGCCTAAATTCTTAATATATGTACATATTAAAAAATTAAACTAATTCACCATTGTTCAATTTCATCCTGTAATAGGAACTCCTAACTGCTGAGACAATCGTGTAACAGATATTTGGGGATTCTGTTTAAGTCGTTGTCTCAAATAATCAACAATTTCCTCTGATACTGAAGGTCTTCAAGGAGATTTCCCTTTGTTGACACTGCCAATTCGAACAAATCAGTTGATTCCATCTCTAATGCGAGCCTCTAACGACGTTTCTTGAGTTTGCAAATTAGGGTAGTTGCCCAGAAATTCTTGCATACAAGTGGTTACAGAATACACTCACTTTCCGTTTATGAATATTCCATTGCGATAATAAGTCATAACAATGAATGTGTCTTGTTCAACAAAATAAATCATTCAAAAACTAAAATTCGTTATATATGTATATATAATAATTTTAAATTGGACTGAAATCTGATAAAATTGTCACTTTAATTTAAATTTAAATTAATTGTAAATTAAACGAAACGGAGTGACACTAATTTGCATTATACAGTACTGTCCGAGATGTAAAGTTGTCTATGCAATAAATAAAAATTCTGGTATAGTGGATGTAATATTTTATTTAATACTACGTACTCGAATCGAAGACAAGATTTTATTCTAGAAAATTTATTGCACCTGTTGAACGCAAAATCGAAAGATTTATTATTCTTTTGTGTATTTACTGATATTTCGCTTTTGGGAGAAGTGTTACTAAGACAATAAAATAACAATTAAACACAAAAAAATCCTTATAATATTTGTTAATTTCTTTGGGCTAATTTGATTTTTCAGAGCCATTTTCAGATTTTTTGTTTTGCTGTAGTCTGTAGAATCAGTAAATTTATTTTCCAAACAATAGTTAATTATTTGTCTTGCATTATTGTTTTCCGTTCGCTTGTCCGTCTAAATATCTTAAAACTTTTAAGTGTGCTAAAATATTACTATAAAAATCGCCAAATGTTAATAAAAAATGTCCCTCTTGTTTCATAGAAAACAGTCAAATTTTAAATGTAACGACAGAAAATAGTAATTAATACATTATGAAAAATTTTACTGAAAACTGCTTTCCGACATGCGCCTGGTGTCGATCTACTGCTTATTATGTTTTCGCCAAAGGGAAGTTCAGAGTACACAACTACATCTTTTAGTATCTAGTTAGTGTTTCACGAATTTTTAATTTAAAATTACCATGCTGTTTACATTAGGAAATTCTTGTAGCAAAATTGTGGCGACTAATAAAAATGTAAATTTATCTTCGATACGAGGAAAATATACAAAACAAACTAAAAAATCGCAACGTCGGAAACAAAGTTCGAGTGCATTATACACTCCGTGCACAACACATGTTGCCAATGCGTATATAAAAGAGTAGATTAAAATAATAAGGAACAAAGTTTCCTTTTAACTCTCTCGTTCTGCTTGCTATATGAGCCAACTTTTATCTTAAGTCAGGTTCGTAACGTGTTTAGTGCTACAATACTGCATAAAACAGTGCTCATAAACATACTTGCGCTAAGTTTTCAAAGCGATCGCAAAGTTAAACAGAGCGAAAACTCAAAATGAATGCAGTGAATGACGAACGTATCGAGCTTTCAAATAACCGCTTTCAAACTAAAATTTGCTATGTTGCCTCTAAATCATTTTCAGCTCACGTTATATCTATAATTTATTACAATCGTTAAACATAATATGAGTTTTCTGCATGAGCAACTTCTAAAAACGGGAGAAATGGAAGTGTAAAATCAAATGTTAAGTTGACTGTTGTAATAGTGAGCAAACTCGAATAAGTGTGAACGAAAAGTTCAGGGGAAATTAGCGAACTTTGCTGGCTTTACTTTGCTCTATTTGAAGATTAGTTCTCGTAAAGTACACACCGTACTTCAAGAAATAAAGGATTACAGAAAGACTTTCCACTGTACATTTTGATAATTTTTTTTATTTAAATTCAATTCGTAGTCAGCACTCCATGGCAACCGTTCGCTGTGACGTGTCACGAACTGCTTTCGTTCTTAATTGTGTAGTTTGTTATTATCGGCGAAAGCTCGGTCATTATTTTACTTTCTAAAATCTTGTTTTCTGTCTTATATTGAAGTTTTTATTCATTTCAGGTTATGGCAACATATCTCCTCATACTTTCGAGGGAAAATTAACCACCATAGTTTACGCCATCATAGGCATGCCTCTTTTCCTCTTGTACCTCTCAAATATTGGAGACATAATGGCTCGGTCATTTAAGTGGATCTATGCCAATTGTTGTCTCTGCAGATGGTGTCCAGGTGTGGCGAAACGTCGCGCCGAGCGCAAAAGACTGCGAGAGCAGTTACGCGGAGAATATGAAGAAGGCGTTGAAGAAGAAGAAGAAGAAAATCAGGTAATTTTGTTTAATTTATAGTCTCGTTTTCAAGTGACGTGAACTAACATGGGTTGTATTTTTTGTGTTGGCAGATTGAATACGGCGAGAATTTTGATGCGTTCTATAGGCAAAGAGCATCAATTGTTAGTGCAATGAGTGGAGAAGGAACGGATGCCGAAAGTGAAGAGTCGTATGACGTGCAGACTGTTACTGTTCCTGTAACTATTTGTCTTGTCATTATGGTGGGGTAAGAGATATTTTTTTGCTGCAGAATCACAATTTCTTAGAACAGTGGGTGTAGTAATTATACTAGTTCTGAATAGAATGGAGGAAATGCGCATCCATTAAGAGGAAACCCGGGTTCCAGTTTTTTCACTAGAAAAAAAATTTGTTCCAAGGTCACTAGTTTCTTTTATGAGAGAAATTAACATCCGTGGGGCGTTTAGAATATTACATTTATTTTTGTAATTTATACACTAATTAATAATTTATATCCTAACAATAATGAACTTCGGTTGAAGTAATAAAGAGTTACAATATGAAAATGTATTGATGTAGTTTAAAGGGTTTCTGTTTTCTATAAAAACAAACACATAACAGTAGCATTATCAATTATCATTATCACGTAAGCGCAATCCTTTGAATAGGTATAACCACTAAATTGTATCTTCTAGCAACACTAGAAGGCATAAAGCGTACTTCCTAATTCTTCTTCTTCTTCTTCTTCTTCCACTTCTTATTCTTCTTCTTAAACCTTTTCTCTATGCTGGTTTTTACTGCATAGCAGTATAGCCAGTTTAGTACCTCTTTGTGATACTTTCAGAGACGAGGGTTGTTAATTTACAGGTTAGAGGATCCATCGATGGCACGTCTGGGGCGAATCCATGTTCCCTAGCTGTTGTATAGTTTTCAACTGGAAACATTGCTAACGAGATTTTCACGTGATTTTGCCTTGAAGGATGAATATAGATCTGTGTAGAAATTTGTTGGTCTCCTTCTTTGTGCGTATTCGAGTATCATATGGTCCAAAGTACCTGCCGACCACGCGGGTACTATTCTGCTTCTTGGACTCCTATTCTACACATGTGGACTGGAGTTACCCAATGTCGTGATCAGGGGTGGAAATCGGGAATTTTCCAGAGGCAAATTTTATATATGGTTAGCCTTGGCCACTTTTCATAAAAAAAAATCACAACGGTTGCGATGACAGTAACTAGGTTGTTTGACTATAAGCGTACTAAGTTTGATGGCAAAACGATTAATATTGGTCTTCAATCAAGACTTTTTTTTAAAAACCATATCAGGCAAAAATTGAAATTTTGATAAAATAGAGTACAGATCTCTTATAAAGTACCTTTTTTTGAAAGGTTTGGCTGGCAGAGAAATTTATGCCGATATGCTGCATACACTGAACGATAAGGGTCCTTCATATACCATTATAAAGGACTGCAGAAGAGATGGAACAGAGACAAACACCATGCCGGAAGACCCGTTTGTGTGTCTACTCAGAAAACATTGATGCCGTACATGACCTGATGTTGAAAGATCGTCAAAATGGGCTTAAACGTATAGCAGAGAGATTTTTTATGAACGTATCTCCCAAATTCTACATCACGAATTGGGCATAAGAAAATTATCTGCAAAAATACCTGAATGCGGATTAAAAGCGGCAGAGGGTGACAACCTCCAAAATGATTTGCAACCTTTTTGAAGAGGACAAAAAGAGCATTCGAAAGAGTGGGAAGATAGAGGGTTTCTTCAACCATAGAAATAAATATTCAGAAATCTGCAATGAAGGTACCCGCGTCGATTTTTTGGGACAAGGATGGTATAATTTAAATTGCGAGAAAAAATTATCGAAAAACGTTCGTACATTTAAATGAAGTAAAATTTGGGGTACCATCCCTTCCTCATCACGAAACTCCGAGATTCTTTCAAAATACTTAAAAAAAAGACAAGGAATCCTTGAGATTCTTTGAAACTAGTCAAAAAACAAAACACAAGGAGTCCCCCAGTTTCTTTCGAATACTTCACAAATAAGACACATGGGACCATCGAGATTGTTACTTCAAAACCAAGCAAGGGATCCCCAAAATTTTTTCCAACTACCTTAAAACAAAACGCAATAGGTGCCCGAAATTTTTTCAAGTTACTTCAAAAACAACATTTCTTTAAAACTAAACTGCGCGTTAAAACTTAAGTATATTGGTTCAAGACATATTTATTACTCCTATTAGTTTTTTGACATTTTTCGAAACAATTGAGTAGGCTTAAATTAAATTAATTTCGATGTCCCTAACTTTTGACGCGTAGTTTACTTTAAAAACAAAACACAAGAGGTTCCCGAGATTCTTTCAAACTATTTCAAAAACAAAACACAATATTGGTCCTCCAGGTTCTTTCAAATTACTTAGAAAAGATTACACAGACAGATCCCTGAAATTCCTTCGAACTACTTCAAAAACAAAGTACAACTGGTCCCCGAGATTCTTTCAAATTACTTCAAAAACAAAAACCACAGGGAGTCCCCGAGATTCTTTCAAACTAAGATGCTCAAGCCAAAAATTGTCACTTTAACCAGATTCCTTGTTCTGTTTTAGTTTACATTCGGATGATTAGTGTTCAAGTTTCTTACATTTGACAGAACGAAATTCTTTCTTCTTAGCGTAGTCTTTCTTTGCTTCCGTATTTCTTCTCTTTTAACGCCAGGGACTATTTTAGCTCGCTACTATGACACCGGAAGAAATCCTGCCCACACAGGTTTTGTGCACATCGCTGTCTCCAAATATTCTGACGCGCCGAACTTCAGGCACAGCTAAGTCGTCGCTTAACTCTATATCACAAGGTAAAATTTGGAAAGTTGACGGTACACTGTATAGTGAAAGAAGAGTAAGATGATCAGAATTGATTGATACGTTAATTTCAGTTGGCTTATCAACTGACTCATGTATGGATTCCACTTTTTCCAGTGCCACAGACTTGGAGCCAGGTTGTGTCTGCCGAGGGGACTGACCTATACTATATAATCTTTCCTCCAAAAATTTACACCCAGTCGGTGCACTCTTTAATGGATCAAGTGTCCCCTCGCCACCCATATGGCTAAAGCTGACGCACAATTTTTAAATCCTAAACCTATTCAGTTTGAAATACTAGACATTTAAGGATCATGACCAGTCGTGATGCTACTCCACACCTGCCTCGCCGCATTCGAGAAGGACACCGGGGCCCGGGTACCGACGGGACTGGCTTGGTCAAAGACTTTTCATGCCGGGTTAGGATTGAGATATCCGTTCCCCCCTTGCAAGATCCTGGCTTTTCTTGCCCCTAGTCCTCCCAGGACTAACCGAGTACCAATGGTAGAAGTACCCGGTACAAAATTGTCAGCACTTTTACTAGGAAGTGAAGGCTTTGCTTGGCCTTCATCACAGCTGCCATTTGAGAAAAAGCCTGTACCACGCGAAGCAGGGAGTTGACATAAAGCAAGAGAGGATATGTTTTCACTTCTTTGTTCCATAGCAAGCGTTTAACAGTTCCTGTTTTCCGGTCCCGAACTTGGACTGGCCCTTTGTACTGTTAGTACAGGTGAGAGGGGTTTATTTCTTTAGAAGGTTTGCTGCTTCATCTAGTTTGATCATATTTATGATTATGGTACTTCTCTTTGGACGGCTGTTTTTTAGTACAAAGTTCGTGACTATTTTGGTATCTCGATAGTCGATAGTCGTCATTGCATACAACCAGAAACTACACGTAGTTCTTTGCGATGGACCGTTTTCAGTCTTTTCACTGTTCCTTTAGTTATGGCCAGATACGACGTACATCCAAAGTCTATGTGATAGCATACTAGGGATTTATGCAAGGTGAGCAAACTGTTGGGATCAACTCCTCACTTTGCATCACTCTCCGCTTTCATGACTCTAATTCCTTTACTGGTTTTGCCACAGGGGTTTCTTACCTTTGTGATATTTCTTAATACCCCATGATTTTAGCAGGATGGATGCTACAATTCATGGTGTCGGTTGAAGCTGTCGACCTTGGCCTTCTCCTTCTGTCCAAACTCTATTTCTTTCTCTTCGTCATTCCTGTCGATTTTCTTCTCCACAATCGTCTTGACTGGCCCTGTAGGATAGAGTGCATACTATCCGTAGCAACTCTTTCTTTTCCTATTTACTGTAATGCTTTTTGTTCTTTACCTACAACATCCGCACGCAATATTTTACCCTCGTGTACTCACTAAATTACCTGGCCATCCGTGGAAATTATTTTCCAGTATTTCCAATCGTATCATATCTTATCTCAATCGTTTTCGTAACGGTGTAGGAAGGTTTTGACATTACGTCTCATTATTTTCATTAGTAGTTGCACACATGTTTCAGTAGCATTTCTTGGGCTTACCCCAGAAGTTCAGATTAAGTTGGTTTTCTAATCTGGTATTCACTCGTTGCTTACATTATATCTGTCAACAGGTTTGGAGCTAGTTTTGATAAGCGGAAATATCTACCAAGCTTGGCCGCAGAATGGGTGTTAAGGTCAAAATCGCGAACTTTTTCCTCGACAACTACGAGGTTGGTCGTGTTAAGTACCGTGCGTACTGCGTAGCAAATTCAGTGATTTTTGGGATTTAAATAAGATCCTCGAAACCCGCTTGGTGCAATAGTTGTCAGGAGGTGTTTGGGACGGGTTTGAGGGATCTACGGCCCTCGCCGGAGTGAAGGTCGTCAGCTTACAATAATTGTTTACTCCAGATATTTGTATGATCTTACATTTTTATCACCTTAGATTTAGAGGGATTATTCTCTCAGTTTCTTTGAGAAGTTGTCGATTGTAATGTTCCTTCGGTTGTTGTCTCCCGGCATGGTAAGTTATAAGTTAAAGAGTGGTAGGCTTAGAACCTTGGAAGACCCATGTTTGCGACAAGCCCATAAATTGTCATATTTTCATTTGTCATCTAACGTCTGTGGGTTGTGATGTCAGCTAACTACACTGGCAAGTTGTGATTGAATGAAAAGAATTAATCGATAGAATTATATATACCAACATTAGTAATAATGGCAAATTCAAGTTATCATTCTAAATTAATCAATAAAAGCCGACAACAGAGACTAGAAAGTCGAAAATAATGAGATCACAAATAATTGAAGGAAAAATCAGCAAAAAATCTCTTGATGGAATGGAGATGGAGAAATACTCCAGTAGCCTCCTCACCACTATGTAGTAAATCCTATCGAGTTGCTACGGATTTATTTAAAGAGGGATATTCGTAGACAAAATACATCTCCGACGTTAAGTTCGAGAGTTCTTGAATTAATCCGACATAAGACGGACGTCATTAATAGTGTATTATTGGAAAGGCAAACGGAAATTCTTATTTATGTATCACCCAACATTCAACAATAAATTCATTATTAGTGTTGTGGATGGAGATGACGATGTGCATACAATGAATTTATAGATGCTGAAAGTTAAAAATTTATTTGTATTTAAATAAAATCAACATGTTAGAATTAAGAAAATTGTAGAAGTTCCTAGCCCTATTGCAAAATGGCTTGGGAAGAAGGAATTCCAAAAGTACACCGGTCATTGCTATCGGAGGAGTTCAGCCACTCTTTTGGCAAACGCAGGTGTAGATATGGTCTGTATCAAGCGCCACAGCGGATGGAAATTCATGCTCGAGCCCTAAGGTTATACAAAAACAAAATAAAAAAGAAAACAGAACAAATAACAAAGTCACCATTTTCAATGCAATTTTGAATTGTCAACCGTTCACTTGACCGAAAACACTTCTAATGAAATTTCTCACTTACTTTTCGAAACTCAAAGATTTGGAAAAATTGGTGGAAAAATCCGTGACATCAATCAGCTACCTGCAGCTTCTTAGTCTAATAAAAAAATGAATTACTTCGCACCCTTTGATATTTGTTAATAATAAGTCGACACATTATATGCTACACATATTTGCCTTTATTATGAAAAAAGCATTTTGTTCCGAAAACGATCACCACCTAATTTCTGAAAGTTAGTTTTTTTCTTAAGAGGAATTTGGCGCATGGCATTTTCAATACATTTTCCTAATGTAATATCTTCATTATTAACAAACTTATTGTTTTGAAATTTCAAATAAGTATAACTCGTCTAAAACATTTTTGACTACCTATTTTTAAAAATCAATACGTCAATTATTTATAGAAATTTCGGCACGCGGATTTCGCCACTGTTTTCAGCTTTGCATAAGTCTAGACACTATCTAAGATATACTATCTACTGTCTTTGTCGGAAATCTGATACTTTATCGGCAATTAACAAAACTCTTCTTTTACGTATAATATAAAGGTATAATAGGGCCAATTCTGAATTGAACCTGTTAAAATTTAAAGGTTGTTAAAAAATAAACAGCCAATCAGATTTAGGAATTTAACTCGTTACTATGGAAATTTGCATTTTAACACCCTTTAAATTTAACAAGTTTGATTCAGAATTGCCTCTAATTTCAGAGAAGCCATATGCATTCATTGCAAAAATGTTCTAAGTATTACAAATTATGTTGACTGATATATAAACTACAAAGCTTCCTTTTTGCCGCTCTATATGCAAACCACGGATTAGGTTAGAGCTAGTACGGGACACACTGTACATTTATGAGTTGTCTTCCAGCAAATACACTTTCACTCCTTTCTGCACATTCTCCCACGAGCATGCTTTATCGCGTTATTTTAACTTAGAAGCAAACAAAATTTCACGTATCCATTTTCCTAAAACAGGATAATGCTAATATCCAGCGGCCCCAGTTTCCACAATCCCTAAATCTACTTTCACTTTTTTCCAGGTACATATGCGGCGGCGCCCTTTTGTTTTGTAAATGGGAAGACTGGGAATTCATGGATGCTTTCTATTTCTGCTTCATATCCTTAAGCACCATCGGCTTCGGGGATTTAGTCCCCGGCGACAAGATTTACCGGCGCGGAGACGGCACAGACCTGGTAGACGAAGTCCTCGAATTAAGTTTCATATTTTGCTCCATGTATCTGATGCTGGGAATGGCGCTGATCGCCATGTGCTTCAACTTAATGCAGGTATAACACGCGCATTCGAACACGTCCTATGCGAATCTCATCTGCACGTTTCAAGGAGGAGGTCATACATAAAATAAGGACGACCGTGAGAACTGTCAAGTACATCTTACGCTGTGACAGATGACGGTGACGTTGCGCTGATACAAAAATTCCCAGACGTCCAGGACCAATCCAATCGACGGGAATGTCTTCGCGAAATAGGAATTCAGTGAGTAAGATTTTGCATTAATCAAGTTGACGGTGTGTCGAGCTTTGTTTTATTTTGCGGCTGCGACGAGACGCCACTGACGCGGGATTGTGATTGGTGAGGTGTGTCACGTGGTGGTACAGACACGGACACGATGTTAAAGAGCCCGTAAATGTCACGTTTAACATTTCTTATGGCGGTTACAGCACTCTCAGCGACTACAAAATTCTTTATGAAAGGCGCGCGGACGCTTTGAAATTTAATTTATTAACGTGAAAGCTTTGGAAATAAGTTGTGTATACATTTAATTATTCAATATTGATTTGATCTCTACATTCCCAAAATAAGAGTCAGGTAATGTTATCTTTCCCCTGGAGAGTGGTGATAAAAGTCTACCAATTAATAGTTTCATCTTTTTTAAATATTATTATTAATACATAAAGGATATATAAGTTATAAAAAAAGATCTACGCAATCACGATCTAATAGAACAAGCAGTTAATCCATTACTGCGTACCTTTCAAGGAGGAGTTAGAGCAAAACAAAACAAACAAATAAATAATTTTTAGTGTAACAATGATTCAAAAAATTATGTAAATAATTTAAAGTAGTCATGATTTCTGTAGTAAGTACATTTCATATATACAAGGCCCAGAAGTTTTAAATATTAATACGTGGAGTTGCCAAATAGAATAGTTAATTTAGTAGATGTGAGCACTCGATCTCACAATGAATTAGTTTTTTAAGACTAGATTTTAGATTATTTACGTGTCATGTGTCAGTTTGGTGCGAAACTGGTCCGTAGGGAACATACAGTGCATCACGCTTCAGAGTTCGACGGATTCTACAAGCATGCCGATTCTTGACCGATTGACATGGAAAGTTTCCAAGTAGTGATGGAAACTAGTGGAGTTCAACTGTCCCGTCTGTCTTCAAAGTCTAAGCCTATTCAGTTCGAAGGACCGGAAAAAGATGTCCAATTGTGGGAGTCGGCTCTTTTCAACACACTGTGCATATTCTTCTTCACTCATCCAAAATTTATTTTCTCTCTCTTCGTTAGCGCATCTAAATCAGGCCATGATTATTCGCTCCTTCTTGTTTTTGGTTATTAGGTACCGTGCTAATTTCCCTATTATCCTTAAATATTTGTCGTTGTACCTACAATGTGTTATCTCTCTCCACTTCCCCCCTGCTTCTATATAGCAAAATTTCTGCCACAGAGTTTTTGCTACATCTGTTTTCCTTGACTTCTCACTGTTTTACTTCCTTCCAGGCATAATCATTTCACTCGTAGTATTTTGTCCTCATTTTGCAAAGCTCTTGTTCGTGGTCATTCTTTTTCTCTTTCCCGCACTATTATGTGATAGTGTGGCCTTTCTTCTGTTCGTTCTTCGTATTTTACGGCTCTCCTTCCCATTGCTACTCTCAATTTTTCCCTTTTCGTTTCCTCCCTCATTATATACCCTGGTGTTTCTATTTCAAGACTTATAGCGTCCATTTCAAATATCTTTCTTGGATTTTCTCTACCTCTTGAAACTCTGTTTACCCCTAGATCTTCACCCCATACACTTTTAACCAAGCTATCAAACAGCATAATACGTCTCTTCCAAACATTAGCAAATTTCGTTTCTATAATTCCCCATGCTATCCCTACCACCTTGCACTATTTTGCATATGTTCTTTATATGAGTGTTCATTGACTTGACCGAGTTAAAGTGGAATCCCAAATATCTAAATTCCTTCACGTGTTCTAATTCTCTGTGTCCCCATTTCCAAACCCTTCCTTTTTTACTTCCACCTTTTTTCCAAAGGCCATTATTTTTGTCTTATCGACATTTACTGTAACTCTTCTTTACTTTTCTCATACTTACCTTTCAAGATTTCTGATCATTTCTTACATTTCTCCTTCCGACTTAGGTATCACCAAAATATCATCGGCATATGCCAATACGGAACCCTTATTTCTTCCACTTACTATCTGTAGTTTGGTAAACATTTCTTCAAGATCTTCCACGTAAGCTCTGAAAAGACTTGGGCTCAGCGGGCATCCCTGTCTTACCGCCTTTATCGTGTTAGAATTTTCACTCTCTTTCCCATTCACTCTTATTTTGATGGTTGTGTTCTTTAATCTTGCCTATCAAATGATCACTGGTCTTTTTCTTTTTCAAATATTTCTACATCTTTTCTCTATCTACCGTGTCAAATGTTTTAAAATCGGCAAAAAAGGGAACACGGTAGCTTCTTTCTTGTGTATTTCTTTGGCCATCCCATGATGGTATATAAAAATGTATTATTCATTGTTTCCTTCCATGCCCTGAACCCTGTCGACATGTCTGGCAACAACCCTTCTCTCTGCATTTCCTTTACTAGCCTACGCGTCTCTTAGTACTATTGCACACCATTTGTAACTCGTATTTAGCAAAGTTATCCCTTTATAGTTTTCGGTAATTCTCCCTGTTCCATTCCTTCTCACCTGCCTTTACCCATGCTTCATTTAGAATTCCATCTTTCCCCTCTGACTTTCCTTTTTTTAGTTTCTATAGTTGTATTCTTAGTTCTTCCTCTGTCAATGAATCCACTTTGTAATTTTCGCCTTTTTCTTTTATTTCAGTCGTTTCTCGTTTCTCTGTACTTCCTGTTCTTTTCTTGCATCCCAATTTTTTCGCTTATAGCTTTTTCCTCTTTTTTCATCATTTATTTCTATTTTGTCTTTTACTTTTTACTTCCCGAGCGTAAGCGAAGAAAGTATTGTAATGGACTCCATCGGACGAATGGCCACCTTTAAGTTTTCTCGACGTTTCATGACCCCTACAGTATGAAAAAATTAGTCTACAGTTTCCGTCTCTCTCTCTCTCTCTCTCTATCCATTTTTATTAGACACGTAATCTCCGAAACTGTTAGACTGATTGTTGTCAAATTTTGCATGTATATTAGAAATATCGTGCAGATGGTTAAATGCTAACCAAAATTTGGTTAATCATCCCCACCAACAATTTGATGACGTCATTTCAATGAATGGTATTCTAAAACGATTTGAATGTTACACAAAAATATCCTCACATACTTGTAGTGTACGAATCCACTTTCGGGTTTTTCGCTAAAAAATCAAATTTTCGCATAAACATTTGCAAGGTATAATAACGTTTTATTCTTGACGCGGTTTGAACGTTTCCGTGGCGCAGTAGGTGTATCGGAGATAATGGCGACCTGTGGTACTGCAATTGTGGTTCGATGCCGAACTTGGTCCTTTACTTTTTTTTCTTCCATTGGTATAACGCTGTGACTACTTTTCTTTTATATTGTGACTAGAATTATCCATGTTGATGACGACATCACAATTTTTTTATTAGTCAAATTAAGAACGAGTCACCCCATTTTCTCGAAAATGTGAAAAATACGCACGTCTTTTTATAATAATGATAAAATAAGAATTATAATATTCCAAATAAAACTAACTTCTACGTGACATTCTATCGATGTATAAACATAAATAAACACTTGAGCTTCAGATTGCTATTACCTACTGCTGAAGGACAAGGGGTGTTATTTATACCTCTAGTTTTTAGTTTAGAGCGATTTTCAAAAAGGACATAATAATAAAATCTTTTTAAAATGATATTGAAATTTTGCATCACGTTATCACCACTCAATATTATCATCTTTTTGTCGGCGTCGTTCTTTGTGATTTGTACGCTGAAAACAGTGGTGACAACCGCGTTCCGAAATTTCCATAAATAATTAAGAGATTGCTTTTCAAAGACACACTACCAAAAATTTTAAAAAGAAGACGATAAACTATTTTTAAAAAACTGCCACTGTGTTATTTCGGGGAAGTTGTGAACAGGTTATACTTAAAATTTCAAAGCAATAATAAGTTTGTCCATAATGGAGACATTACATGCCGAATATATATTGAAAACCCCGGACTTAAGATTCCTTTAAACACAAAGAAATGGTTGACCTTTTACTTAATTATGCATGTAGAAATCTTTAGCAACAAAAAGTAGGATTTGCTTCTTACCCAGACTCAAATTCAGGCGGTGGGTGTTTTCTCTTGGACAAACAGAAAATAAATTAGGGCCAAAGGTAAACTCAAAACCAACATTATTTCATTTCAGAGAAAAGTAGCAAACTTTTTGAGTTTTTTTAGTTATTAAATTCTTCAAAGGGAATAGGAAAGGACTGACCCTCACTCATTTTTCGTTAAAATGTTAGACAAAAAGAACACTTGAGAAGACCAGACAACTGAAACGAGTAGGTTTATAAATTGCACAAGGCGGCCACTGGTAAAAAAAAGCTGCAAATTTGGCCGGAATGTACAAGGGATGGAGATGTATACGTTCATAAAGCGCAATATATAAATGACATACTTCAAAAGGGGATGAGAAAGTTCGATTGGACGCTGCAAAAAATATCCTAAAGAATAAATATTAACGAGAAAGATATTCTATACAGAAAAAATAAATTCTTCTCGGCAGTTGTATAGAAATGTGAGCAATAAATAACTTCTAATATTGACATCATCTGCTATTACTGACCTAGATAGGCACACTTTTTCACACAAATTTGGTGAAATTTTCCATATTAGCGATGTTCCAGTTCAACGATAACCAGATTTCACAGGAGTATTGGTGTATCAGGAATATATTCGTTGTAAAGTGGATTTAAATAACAGATAACTATTTATTTTTGCACTAAAATATCATATTTATGTTTACCGTGAAACATATATTTAATTTGTGGATAGGTTGATTCACCATTCGCTTATTTATATGTTTGCTTGTACATTATAAATCTGCAATATTGACATTTATTATATGTACTTTTGGCATCACAGTTAGATTAGCAGATGCACTAACGGTTTTTTTTTAATTGACTTAAACAAACCACAAAATTCAAACACAGTATTGTAAATAGTTGTTATTTAATGTTATTTAATGAGTACGTGACGAGACGCCACTGATTAAAGATGATGACTGTTGAAAAAGCCACACGGTGATGATGCTTTTAATTACGCATTCGGTATCCAACAACTTGTAAACGTCACATTTATTAACGTTTATTATGTCGGTTTCAGTACTCATTTCCCAATTAAAATAACAGATCCATGTCATAAATACGCGATATTTATGTCACTGGAAAATCCATTTCTCTGGCTATTTTTGTGTCTCGTTTTGTTTATAATGCGAGGCTAGATTAATTTATTTTTTTGATTATTTATGTGTTTCATTTGCATATTGTAAACGACACACTGGACATTTATTTATCGCTGACAACGCAATTATTACACCCCTGTGTTTGGCACTAATTACCGCATCCGAATACAATTGTTTGCAATTTTTCACATGAACTTATTTCTGTCCAAGACTGTAGTTTGTGGCCCCTTCAAATCTCGCGCTTTTAAGACGCGTTTCGATTGGTCCACCCGTCAATCTCAGTTGCAAATGTCCTTTCGCAAGTTTAACTCAAAAATCGGAACAATCTTTCGGTTTTTGCGTGTAATTAAGTGCGGTAAGTGTGTGATTCGTTAAAGTTAATTAAAACGCGGCGACCGGGATGTTTATAATTGGATTTTTGTGTAATAATTAACTTTGTGCGAAACAGTTATGAAGTTTGGCTGTTGCTGTTTTGGTGGTGTTTATTTGAGTCTAAAGGTAGGATTTTCGTTGAATTTGGATTTTTATGGGCTTGTTTCGTCAATATTTAACGGTTTATTTGTTTGTCTGTCCGCTTCGGGTTCAAAAGTACATAAACTGTTGTTTCTGTAGGGGCTGGTGGGGAAAGTTTGAGTGTGATGTTTGAACACGTGCTTAGTTGTTCGGGTCAGGTGATGCGATTTTGCTTTTAATAATCTACTAAGAATTTGTTTGATCACTTGGTGAAGTGATGATAATAGAAATTGATTCGTTTCGAGTTTTCGTAATACCACCAGCTTTAGCGACTCTTTCGTATCATTTAAAGGTGACAGACACAAACCAAACTTATCGGTGAATGGTTGCTTTATTATATTTGTATTTTAAATATTGATTTTCTTGAACTTGTATGATACATTGATTTATTTTTATTATAGTTAGGAAGCAAGTATCCGTTGTAAGAGGATTCGACAAGAAATCCCTTATTGGAAATGCGGTATTATTATATTTTCTACAATGTGGAAAATTTTACCACTAGACTTTTGACGGATAACACGGGCTGAAAGTAGGAAATAATACAAGATTGTTTCGAGTGTCTAGTGACTTTTATACTATTTTTTGTACCTTGTGTCGTAGAATTATAGATCAATGTTTATGCACCTATTCGTTCAAGATCTTTAACTGCAGCAAACTAAATAAGTGAGTTGAAATGTAAAGTACGTATAATTAAAGTCTTTATAAGAGGGTAAATCAATTAAATTTGACATTTGAGATCATATTCACAAATACAGACTAAATAGAGATGTAATCGTTATTTCTACTCGTGATGTGCTTGGATGGAAATTAGTCTAATGTACGAAAGGAGTGTGACTTCAATCACTGCGGTATTTAAATTTTTTCTGTCATTCCAAAATTACATATTTTAACAATTTTTTTTTATAATAAATTGCATTGAACTACTAAGGAATTTATAATTCTTCAACCACACGATTTTGTATAGTTTTAAATCATATGTATGAATTTATACACATTTATGGATTATGTAATTAAAAATAACTGCGAAGAGTATAGAATAAGATATACGAATTTAGTAGTGTTTGATATTGTGTTATAAAAAAATTATATTGTATAGATAAGAGAGATTCCATTTTTTTTTGGCTTAACTGATATCTGCCTAATAGATAAAGAAAAAATTGTTGCAGTAAAGGAACTGTTTCACATAGTATTAGTAGAACACTAGCTGTACTACAAGGTTTCCAATTAGGTCCTCCTCTCTTTTACATATATGGGAATGATGTTAAAGATGTTATATGTATATGTGGGTTAGTTTTTTTGTTATCATTTGTTAGATTAAGTTTTTTTTTGTGCGTTTATGATATATCAGTATAGAGGGTTATGATAAAATAATGTACAAATTTCATGAAAAGCGCAGCATTTGTCTTTGAAAAAAATGCAAAAATATGGCAAGCTTTTTGTTTTACTCTCCATTTTTGTCATATATCAAGAAATTGTATGTCAAATGTGTGAAAGTTATGAGGTCATCAATGATGTTTTTAGATAGGAAGGTATAATTTTGATAGCATTATTGCTTCAAAGGGTGGTTGGTCGCCAAATTCTCGCCAGATCTCTTCTCTTCTCACTAGAACGGCAGAAAAGAAAAAAGAACTTCAAATCACGTCGTTCGGGATCTGGGTATTTCCATATTTTATATTTTGTTTTGCTCATTCTTCTTCGTCTTTGACCTTGCCTATTATGATAAATTTGAAAATTGTATTCCAATGTTCTTCATTTCCTAGCAGGAAGTCTATTACGTTCCTGGCATGAATTCCAACCCTGTTTGGATATTTGTTCTCTCCTCCTGCCACGTACGGCATCTAAAAATGTGTTCCATGTCATCTGCTTCACCACAGCTTGGGCAGGCATCGGTAGGTGTTTACCCGATTCTTTTGGTGTAGCTCCCGAAGCTCCCGTGGCCCATCAAAAACTGCGTTAGATGGAAATTCAGTTTTTTGTGTTTACATCTCACCCAGTTTTTGATGTTTATGATCAATGTCCTGGTCCAGGCAGCCGTATTCTCAGTTCCCCATTTCATCTGCCTTCTTCTTAGCATCCATTTTTTCCTGTTGTCCATTCTCTTGCCTGTGCCAGAAGGTCTATGGGGGGCTCAGAGGCTATAACCTGAAGTGCCGCTGTAGATGCACTAGGCGCACGTGATCCTCAACACTGACTTCCTCTGGGTTCTTGGAAGCCTCTCCCTATGCTTGGCTATCTCACATGCTTTATACCATACGGGTGTTCCGTAATTTGCCACCCCATTCAGCAGAATCTTTTTAGCTCTACCCGTTGGTCTTCCAACATTTGGCATTAATTTATTCAAGGCGGAACTAGACTTCTCTGCCTTATCTGTTGCGTTGCTAATGTGGGCTCCAAACGTCCCTTTGTTGTCCAAAATTACGCCCAAGTATTTGAGGTCCTTACTTGGCCTAATGTCGGTATTCTTGATCTTAATCCTAAGACTGTCCCTGTTTTTAGAACCGCATAATATAAGTGCCTTAGTCTTCTCGAACCCCAGCGTATTTTGGGTTTCTGCCGTAATAATCAGTACCAGATCATCCGCAAACCGTACCTAGATCTCTCCGGGGATCTTGAGCATTGGTAGATTGTCTGAGCCCTGTGGTACCCCGGCCCGTATGTTCATCTCAATGTTATTAATGGAGATATTCCTTCGAAGTAACTCTGTATAAAGTTAATCAGATACCTGGAGATACTTTTTGCCGATAAACCCTTTAAGTTCACTGAACTGCGTTAAATGCGTTTTTCAAGTCTAACGTATTCATGGCGCACCATGCCTTCCTCCTAGAATTCGATAGTCTCTTAGTCCTGTCTCTAATCTGCAAAATTTCTGCTGTTGACCTTCCTGGTCTGAAATCTAACAGTATATGCTCTAAAAGTTTGCTCATACAATTTAATAATTTATTCTACAAGATAAATGGATTATAATAATTAATTAATTATTTATAATAAATCATAATAAATTGATAATTATAATAAATGGATGATACACCTTACAATCCACTTGTTGACCCCAGCATATTTAAGTCCATTGACGAAATGGACGTTTGGGAGCCCTCTGTGGAAAGTAACCCATTGGATTCGTCACTCGAGGAATCATTTTCGGCCAAATTTCCAAGAGCTCTTCTAAAAGCTGATAAATGAGCAGCACTTCTAAATCTTATTCTGACAAACGTAATAATGTCGAGCACACATTCCACCGTTCTCTCGTCAATTCGCTTTCTCCCCTGTCACTTATGGAAACAGTGGCAGATTATTCAAACATGTTTGATCTTTTCCTTCTATTGAACTGGCAAATTTTTAATTCGTTAAGCAATCAACTATCAACACCAAACCGCTTTTTTTGAACCACTGTTTTTCTTATCTTGTGTTCTTCAATAACCTAATGTTCTATCAGAGGTGCCCACGTGAATATATTTACACAGAATCAGATATTGTAGAATCAAGCAAGTTTATATTCGAAGGACATATTACCTCCCTTTGGGATCAGCACTATTTGACTAACTTTCCACTTATTTGGAAAAACCTGTTTCCTTGCCAGGTCGTTGATTATGGCGAGTAGGTACTAGCTTTGGTGTTGTGGCCACTGTCACTTTAATGGCTTCGCGGGTTACTCGATCAGGTCCGGGTGTTTTCCTTGCCTTCAGCTCTTGCTTGCATTAATGAGCTCTTCTTTCACAAATCCTTGTATTTCCTCCGTTCTGATATTGTCTTTCCAATTGTCATTTATGTTAGGAAACAGCTCCTTCACTATTTCCAGTGTTCTTTCTTATTAGAGTCCATGATGGGACTCCTATTTTTTTGTTACAAGGGTATAGGCCTCGCCTCAAATACCGTTGTCTAACTTTTCGCAAAGGTCATCCCAATTGTTTTTTTTATTTCCATATACTCTTAGTCAGTTCTTTTTTTAAAGGTATTACAGATAGTAATTCCTCAGCTCCTCTTTCTTCGCTTCCGTAACCCGGTTGTTTCTTTTGCCCTGGTTAACTTTCGTCATGCTGTTATGTATTCTTTTCTCTTCCTGTCTATCCTTTCAGTCTACTCATACGATGCCTTCTTTATACCTTTGCACTCTTTTGTGGCGCGTGCTTTTTCAAACGCTTCCGCTATTATTTTGGTACCAGTCTCGTGATCAATATTTTCTAGATTTAACTCCTCTGCTTTTTGTCGTAGCACTTCCCGAAATTTTGCGTCTTCTATGGCATAGCTTCTCCTTCTGCTTATTATCTTTTTATTGTGCCCACCTGACCTGACCTGACCTGAACTGAACTGAACGGCAAATACATTGCGTACTAACCCCAGGAGTGTGGGACTCCCGGGCTAGATGTTCGAGCCGGTCTACCCACTAAAACCCCCTCCTCGTCCGTCTTTACAGACGCCCACTACGGTATCGCTTGAAGCATTTTTTCATAGTGGACGTCGGACCATCATACCTCCTAACCTTCTTCCCTTACTTTTTGCCGCACTATTTTGCTGATTGTTCCCTTTAAGTCCGCCCATCTTCCTTCCTTGATGAACCTGCTGAAGTCGTCTACCGTGAGGTCCTCTTGCAGCAGTATGCCAAGCTCGTTCCTTTCCCTTTCCCATCTTGTGCAGTCCAACAAATGTTCCGGCGCGTCTACCTCTCCACAATACCTGCATCTGTCGTCCTGAATCTTTCCTATCCTTTTCAGGTACGTTCCAAAAGACCTGTGGCCCGTTAGGAATTGAGTGACGTAGTGATCTGTTCCTGCTACCCCTCTCTCGATCCAGTCCTGCACCGTCGGAATCAGTCTCTTCGTCCAGGCTCCGACGATCGCGTTCTACCATCTCTTTTGCCAGATTTCTGTCACTCGGAGATATTCTTCTGACTTTCGTTTTCCTCTGCTTCGGCATACATTCATTCTCGTAGTCAAGAGTAGATTTATCGGCGGGGTGCCGGTAATTACCGACAGGGCTTCGTTTGACACCGTGCAGTAAGCTGAGGTCATCCGTAGAAGCGCCTTTCTCTGGCACCTCTCTAAAAGCATCTTGTACTTTCTGATCCTGATAACGTCGGCCCACGCTGGGGCCGCGTACGTCAGTATCGAGTGCACCACCCCAACCAATATCCTCCTTTTACCACTACTGGGAATATCTTCGTTTGGCATAATTTTTGCCAGTGCCTTAATAGTCCTGTCCGCCTTTTTCGTCACTTTTTTAACATGCTGTACCATCCTGAGATCTTTATCTATCCACACTCCCAGGTATTTGATGGCTTCCCTACTCTGTACCATATGGCCCCCTACCTTTATCTCCACCGATTTCAATTTTCTCCGTCCAGCTATTACCACAATTCCCGTTTTCTCGCCTGCTAATTCCAACCCTTGTTTATTCATCCAGCCGATCACCTTCCCCACTGACTCATTTGAGGATTCTACCAGTCTACCCGCATCTTTTGCTGTTACTATAAGTGCCAAGTCGTCGGCGTAGGCAATCGTCTCTGTATCTCGTGCCATCTTTAGTCTCAGTATTCCATCGTAAAATACATTCCACAGTAGGGGGCCCAAAACCGAGCCCTGAGGGACACCCCTACTCAATCTTATTTCAGTTTGATCCTTCCCAACAACCAATACTCTGTCCTGGAAATATCCCTCAACCATGTTAGTTAGATATGCCGGTACCTGCCGTTCCTCTAGTGCCTTTATTATTTTGTCCCACGGAGCCGAATTAAAGGCGTTCCTTACGTCTAAATTAATCATAATACCGGGCTTCTTCGACTTGTAACTTCCCTTCGTGGCTTCTCTCGTCAGCTCTACCACTTTGGTAACTGCGTCTGGGGTCGATTTATGTTCCCTGAACCCATACTGTCTATCTGACAAGCCCCCTGTCGCCTCTACCTCTGCTCTGATTCTCTCACACAACAACTTTTCCAATATCTTGCCAACTGTACTCAGCATACAGATTGGGATCTGACCTGACCTGACCTGACCTGACCTTACCTAACTAGGCCAAGACGATCCGTGAATTTAGTCTTATTAATTTATTTCATTCATTGAGTGTAGGAGTGCTGTTTGTTGATCTTATGCTTTTGAAAGAATAAAAACTAAATACAACTTAAATATTTAAAATGCTTAAAGAAAACCCAGTTTTACAAGGCAAAATATCACTATGGACAATTAGGAAGGAGTTGCATCAAATTAAATTTGATCAGCAAAAATGTTTGCGAATTTTGTGGAAAAATTATCACGTTATCTTTTTTTACCTCAGGCATCCAAATTTTTTATTCGGACGGATGTTTGATCCTTGCCACAACGATTCCACATTGTTTATTAGAACAAATAAAAGATCAACTTATTACAATAAATCTTGAAAATGTTGTCCTTGACTAGTAATACAGGCTTCAGCACGTCGCAACATGTTTGGACGATAACTTAAAAAAAATCCGGGAGTTCCACGAACTGTTGCGGCTGCCAATTCCGCTCGTTGTTGACTTTCTTCTAATGTTCTTTTAATGTACGATGCACAACAAACTGTGAAACCCCAACTGCAGCTACAAATCGGCGAGTGGTGATGTCGGGCTTTTCTTCGATGCGTTCCAAAATTGGTTTTTCAGCTTGCAGTATTCTTTCGGTCCTATTACGCCTACCATCGTGAGTTTAAGGCTTGAAAGTACCATGATCTCGGAGATCCTGTACTAGTGATGTAAATGTTCACGCATACGGAATCACGCGATTTAGAAAGCGCCCGATTCGTAATTCGCGGGCGAAAGTGGCTTTTTCATCAGCCATATACAATGGCATAATACTAGTCGTTTTGTGCCATTCATTGCATAGTAGTTATTGTAGGTCTAGAAACACTACCAGTGGCGTGTATAAAAATTTATATTTAATTTCAAATAATAATATTCTTTTCTAGACTGTTCCCCATTTTTGTTATTGCACATATTTCGAAATCGACCTGTATGTTGCTAATTGTATCTCCAATAAATTAATTATCAGATGAGGAAGCTATCCTCTGGTAACCAAACAGTTAGAAAGAACCAATGATGCTATGGTTTGTCGTTTTGTACACGAATCGCTAGATATTTATTTAAAACATTTTTGTTTTTTGAATTCCTGTGAATTAGTAATATTGTTGCTGAAAATTTAAAATTATTTGTATTTATTGGCCGAAAAAATTGCCGTCAGTACGAAGATGTAAAATATTTTGATATCTAGTGTTGACATTTTTTGTCAAAGCTTTTTTAAAGGTGGAAGTTTATAGGGAGAAGTTAAAATATTTATCGTTGTCCCCACTAGTTATTTTACAGTTGGGGGATAACCTAAGGCTGCTATGTTTTGCTGCGAACATTTCGATTCTATCAAAGAAGTGGGTAAACTATTATCATGTCTCAAACTATAATATTCATTTAGAAATCTTTTACAGGAAAATAAAAAAATGCTGTTCTAATGTACATTAGTATAAGTCATTTTAAAATGATAAAAGAAAGTATTGTAAATGTCTATTACCAGAATTTTAAACGACGAAAATCCGGACCATAAAAGACAAAGATGAAAAAATATTTCCATATAACGAACTGTTCAATGTGTGAGAAAATATATGTCCCTATTTGTTCACTTTTAACATCTTACCCTAATGTGTTGCGACACTGCCGCTTGTCAGCGC